CTAAAGTTAAGTGATACGGTTAGTGTTGCCAATGTCCATTGTTAGGGTTGGGTCTTGGATTGAAATAATTCCTCTTTACAAAAGAAAAAGCCAGCCAGACACAGTGGCCCATGCCTGTAATCCTTACACTCTGGAAGACTGAAGCAGGTGGATTGGTTGAGCTTAGGAGTTTGAGACCAGCCTGAGCAAGAGCAAGAACCTGGCTCTAAAAATAGCCAGACATTGTGGTAGGCGCCTATAGTCCGAGCTATTCAGGGAGTTGAGGCAAGAGAATCACTTGAGCCCAAGAGTTTGAGGTTGCTTAAACTGTGACACCACAGCACTCTACTGAGGGTGTCAAACTGAGACTCTTTCAAAAAAAAAAATCTTGTACTTGGGGGCTGGGCACAGTAGTTCATGCCTATAATGCCAGCACTTTGAGAATCCAAGGTGGGAGGATTGTTTGAGGCCAGGAATTCAAGACCAGCCTGGATAACATAGTAGACTCATTTTGTCTTTACAAAAATAATTTTTTTAATTAACTAGCTGTGATGTTCAACTCTGGTCCCAGCTACTTAGGAGACTAAGGCAGGATTACTTGAGCCCCAGGACTTTGAGGTTATTTTGAGCGGTGTACTGTGTGATTACACCACTGTACTGTAGCTCAAGTAACAGAACGAGACCCTGTCTCAAAAAAAACTTATATTTCACTTTTACATAGTCTGTATGTAACTTTGATAAACATTAAATTTTCTTAATTTGAAAGAATCATAACTTTTATTCATAACCACAAATTGTAATAGCTTTTAATACAGTAGATTTGGCTACATAATTGTCATCCAACAATTTATTTCTAAAAGGAGAGACATTCTTAAAACACCCTTTTTTAATATCTTTTTTTTTTTTTTAGTTGCCTTGTAGAAGGGGATGCTAAAGAAGAAATTCTGCAGCCACCAGAACCTCACCCAGTGCCACCCATCTTAACACCTTCTCCCCCTTCAGCTTTTCCAACAGTCACTACTGTGTGGCAGGACAATGACAGATACCATCCAAAGCCAGTGTTACACATGGTTTCATCAGAACAGCATTCAACAGACCTCAACAGAAACTATAATAAATCATCAGAACTTCCAGGGAAAAATGAATCAACTATTGAACAGTTAGATAAAAAATTGGAGCGAAATTTAAGTTTTGAGATTAAGAAAGTCCCTCTCCAAGAGGGACCAAAAAGTTTTGATGGGAACACACTTTTGAACAGGGGACATGCAATTAAAATTAAATCATCTTCACCTTGCATAATTGATAAAATCTCTAAGATACAGGAATTAAGTTCGGGGGATCTAAAAGTTGGTGATATTTCTCAGAATTCTTGTATGGACTACAGTGCAACACAGTTAAACAGAGTTCCAGTTACTTCACCAGAAGAATCACAGAAGAATTCAGACACACTTCCAAGGCCAGACTGCTTGCCTCTTGATGAGAAAGGACATGTAACATGGTCATTTCATGGACCTGAAAATGCCACCCCCATCCCTGAATCATCTGAAGGAACATCCTCAGATATCTACTATCCAACTGTAAAAACTGTGGGTTTAACACCAAGCCCTACAACCCAAGTTGAAACCCTTGATCTTGTGGATCATCATAATAGTTCACCTCTATTCGGAGCACCCCTTAGTTTTACTAATCCTCTTCACTCTGATGACTCAGACTCAGATGAAAGAAACTTTGATGGTGCTGTGACCAAGAATAAAACTAGTATTTCAACAGCAAGTGCCACAGTTTCTGCTGCCACTAGTACTGAAAGCATTTCTACTAGGAAAGTGTTGCCAATGTCCATTGCTAGACATGATATAGCAGGAACCCTACATTCAGGTGCTGAAAAAGGTAATAATATAATGTCTAACACTTAAATATCTTTATTACATGCAATCACAGTTTTAAGCATAATTCATTATGTCTTACTCCATAGTATACTCTAGAACCTACAATAAATTTAGTTGTTTCAGATACTAATTTTTTTTTTTTAAAAGCTTTATTTATTGTTCGCTTAATTTGGTCACATTATATCACTGGATTTTGTGTTTCCAAAGTATCATAATTGTTGTAACTGGAAAATTTCTTTTCTTCTGTTGTATTATAGTTTTAAAGCTGGGCATAATGGCACAATGCCTATAGACCCTACTCGGAAGGCTGAGGTGAGAGGATCACTTGAACTCAGGAATTTGAGACCAGACTGGCAGCAAATTAAGAGAGACCCTCAGTCTTTAAAAAAAAAAATTATCTGACTGAATAATTGGAAATAATTTAGGGAAAATAGAATCACTCAAAGTAAAATGGCAAAAATACTGTAAAATGTCTTGGTTAGTCATTTAATTTCACCCATTTTTTTCTTATAAATAGCTATTTAGTCCTCTTCTGTTCCTATAATGACAAAATAACCTCTCGTAAAACTTCATAAATGCTTGCAAATAAGACTGCTTACAATATTGCAAGCTTTTCGGCAGAATATGAGCAATTTAATTCATTCAGTAGTGATATACATATTTAGCAACTATTCATCAAAGCAACTATTTAATTAATGACTCTTTAAGCAGTTTTAGCATTTCAAGATAATGCATGTACTTACATCCCAAGATGTATAATTGGTCTTTGAAACTCCTCTTTGATCTGCTAAAAATAAACAGGGTTGCTTTTTTATACAAACCATAGAGTTGTGAGCAGATGTGTAAACATGAAAATTATTTAATGATATTTTGATAATCAATGGTCATTTACTCATCAGTGAACTTCGGTAGTGATTCATGCAGACTGGTATTTTTAATATGCAATAATATTAATATTATTATAATAAATACTGTGAACTTAAAAGATGATTTCTGATCCAATACATTGCCACCCTTACTATGGTGCTTTTATTTTCTCTAACTCAAAGATATTGTATTTTCTTATCTTTTTTTTTTTTTTTTTTGCAGTTTTTGGCCAGGGCTGGGCTTGAACCCGCCACCCTGGCATATGGGGCCAGCGCCCTACCCCTTTGAGCCACAGGCACGGCCCTGTATTTTTTATCTTGAGAATGTATCTAGTAGAGAAGAAATAAGTGAGTCTAAGTTAATTTCTTAAATTACACAGTTCTATTTTGTTGATATTTCTGTGTTTTATTTGGAAGATCTTCAGAAGATGACAAAATAATAAATATTCCTTTATCAGTTTGCCTGCCATTCTTCTTCAACTTCAGAGTTTGAAATATCACTTTCCAGCTGTAACTATATAAGAAAGTGTGTTGATAGGAAATTTTCTCTTTGGTCTTTTTAAGGCATCTTTATAAGGCATTTGTCTTATACCTAGAAAATTGGGTTTCTTAAACCATTGCGAGAAGTAGAATTCAGAGGGCAGAAAGTGGAAAGTAAGACATACTATACAGGGCTAGTCAAGACCTCTGCTATCTATCTGTTCGTTCAGTTTTGTGTTTCAGAGCAAAAGTAGCTGTAAATGTTAGCACCTGATGTTATTTCACCCTACCTAACTATACGATTGGTTTGATATCAACTGAAGATTTTCCTGTGTAAATGTTCTTTGCTGCAACATAACTAATAAGGAGTCCTATTAATGTGTTGCTAAGTATATACCTTATACATTATTATTATTTCCTCTGTAACTTGTCTTGGAGCACCACTGGCACCAGAATTAGGGGTTGTTTTAGAACTTGTTGGTGAATTATAGATGCATTGCTTAACTAAAGAAATATTTTCTAAGAAATGCTTCATTAGACAATCATGACATTGTATGAGCATCATAGAGTATACTTATACAAAACTAGATGGTGTGGACTATTTTACTATTTAGGATAGCCTATTGCTTCAGGGCTATACACCTTTATGGCATGTACTATACTGAATACCATAAGGAATTAGAACACAATGGTAAGTATTTATATACGTAAACATAGAAATGGTATAGTAAAAACGCAGTATCTCATGGGATTACTGTTATATCTGTTGTCCTTTTGTTAACTAAAACTTATGCAGTACATGATTATAACTGCATAACTTTGTATTGATAACCTAAAATAGTCTTTTGCATAGTTTACTACCTGACAGAAATCCCTGGCTATGAATTCTATTTTTTTTTTCTCCGTATGAATTCTGATTTCAATCTTGACTCAGGCCTCCTGAGAGATTTCTCAAACTTAGCTACAGTATATGATTTGCAAAAGCCTATGAAAATGAAAAATCGCAGTCATTGGTTGGATAATCTCAGAAATAAAAGTTTGTAACAAAGAAAAGGTGGTCCAGAAATCCAGGGGGAAATATGCAGTTGAGAAGCAAGAGCCGCAGACTTTTATGCAAAATAAAAATCTTTGGAGGATGAGGACTGTCATGAGAGAAGTACAGAGTTTCTGAAAGATACTCGATAAGTACTTAATATAAACAAGCAGAATGGCCTTTCTTGCTTTGTTCATTTAATTTATGAAACAGTACTGCAATGCCAAGATTATATGTCCCTTCCTTCTAGCAGCCATCTCTTCACTGTGAGCTGTTAGTAACAAGAGGGCAAGGAGAAATATGATGATGACTCAGACTGCCACTACTCAATAAGGTAGATAGTTCTTTAATGGCAAGAAAGAGTTCTAGAACTCTTCTCTCTGGCAGGACCAGAGGCAGGCTATATTTCCTTGTCTCCAGCTAAGTAAGTGTAAGAGGTGCAAAAGCAGTCATACCCACCTTATGTTTGTTAAAAATGAAAAGGCTTTACTTAATTTCCAATCTTTTTTTACTGTGTACCCTGTCAAATGTGGTAAAATAGAGTATCACCTCACAATGTTGTTCATTTTTTAAGAACAGTGGGTGAGGCCAAGACAAAATAATACAATATCCTCACATTTCCTTTTCTTTATCCCTTCTTTAACAGAGTAGTCCAACAGCATTACAGCCTCCTATTTTCTTTCTGTACCTCCAGTGAAAACTGTCATATAATACACTCATTTACCCTAAGCCATGATAAGGCTAGCCAATAAGACTTTTTTAATATATTATCTTTTCCAATATTTAATTTTGTTTTTACTAGTGCAAAACTTGTATATGGCTTCATGAGTAATCAAAGTACATGGCTCGGCACCTGTGGCTCAAGTGGCTAAGGCACCAGCCACATACACCTAAGGTGGTTCAAATCTAGCCCGGGCCCACCAAACAACAATGATGGCTGCAACCAAAAAATAGCCGGGTGTTGTGGCAGGTGCCTGTGGTCCCAGCTACTTGGGAGGCTGAGGCAGGAGACTCGCTTGAGCCCAGGCGTTGGAGGTTGCTGTGAGCTGTGATGCCACAGCACTCTACCCAGGGCGACAGCTTGAGGCTCTGTCTCAAAAAAAAAAAAAAAAAAAGTACAGTCATGTGCCAAAATTGCCAAGATTTTCGGCATTAAATAAGTGAACATTTAAAGTTTTTAATAGCTATATTTTTATGTGTATTAGAAAAACAACTAGGACTTCAAAGCTGTTATTTCTGTTTAAGACATGATTGAAATACATAGTTAAGTTTAAAATGAGTTTTTTTTTTTTTAAGTGAGTAAGGTTTAAAAGTGAATAGGACAGATGGTACATAATATGGCAGAAATCATAAAAGGAATTAAGTAATTGAATCCAATTTCGGAAACACTGGCTTTAATCAAATGACCAGAGCTTTCCTTTTTAGACTCAAAGCATCATCAGTAATCCCAGTAGAGAAGTCATTTGCCTGCTGATTTTGCTACTGAAGATTGTGTTCAGATTTAGATGTTGGAGTAATGTCTGTGGTGTCGGGAGAGTCATTTTCCATGTTTCATAGTGATAGAATAGGTTATTCTTTGGTCAGTTAGCTTTGTGACTCTTTGATAATGAGTAGAAGAGGTTTCTTGTTTATTTTTTGCATTTTTATAAACCAATTCTCTTAGATAGTTGTGATAGGAAGTTTTAGAATGCCAAGAAAGCACTCTAATTTTGTTTAGATGACATGTTAAATTTTTAATAATTTGTTTAAATTTTATATATTTAATTTAGATGTTGATGGTAGTGAAGATTCACCTCCTCCCCTACCTGAAAGAACTCCTGAATCCTTTGTATTAGCAAGTGAACATAGTGAGTGTCTCTTTTGCTTTTGCATTTACTTCATACTATAATAAAAAACAGTGAAAAACAAGGTTTGTTTTAATGTAGTAATTATTGAGCTACACAGGGGAACTTAATTGTTACTGACAAATGTTTTTGATTCCTTGTTTGAAAAATTCTTTTAAAAGGTAATTTTTGTTTGATAAGATTGCTAAAATAGCTGCATTTACATTAGATAGTAGAATCCAGTTAAATGTAATTGTAAATTTGTATTTACAAATTCTGGTATCTTTTCATTCATTAAAAGTAGCACTTATGGAGACATGAATAGTTTTTACTTGATGTTAGGTAAGTAAACATTTAAGCTGGGTTGTGGGTTGGCATGGCTGATTAGTGTTAATTGAGTAACATTTAAAACCACTAGAGTGGGACAGAGTGGTCATGTTTCAGAGCATTGATAGTGTACTTCTCTCCATTATCCTTTAATGCAGAAACACTTGAATGTATTTATAGTGTCTCAAGCTCAGTCAAGGTGCCAACTAGTTTAGTGAGTTACACTTTACGAATATGTTATTAATTTTGACTGATTTTTAAAATCAGGCAAGGCACAGTGGCTCACACCCATAATCCCTGCTTTTTGGGAGGCTGAGGCAGAAGGATCACTTAAAACCAGGAGTTTGAGAACAGCCTGGGCAGCATAGCAAGAGTCCATCTCTACAAAAAAGATGATAAAAATCCAAAAAAATTTTAAAGAATATTGAAAACAGTGAGGCAATATACTTCATTTATCTAAGTCTCTCAAATTATCTGTAGATTATAGTAAGCTCTAATGACTGAATTCATTTAATTACATTTTAGGAAATTTTTTGAATTAATGGAAACTATAAAAATTTTTATGGATGAAAGCCAAGTGCATTCCTTGGCTCACACTTGTTATCTCAGCTACTTTGGAGACTGAGGCAAGAGGATTGGTTGAGGTCTAGAGTTTCATACCAGCCTGGGCAACATAGCAAGACCCTGTCTCTGTAAAAAAATTAAAAAAAAAATTATGTGCAGTAGTGCATGCCTGTGTTCCAGCTTCTTGGAAGGCTGAGGTGGAGAGATCTCTGGAGCCCAAAAGTTCAAGGCTCCAGTGAGCATTATAATAATGCATTCCACTCCAGTCTGGGCAACAGAGTGAAATCAATGTGTCAAAAACAAAAGGAATTATGGAAGTGATAGTTTCTAAAAATCTTTTTTTTTTTTTTTTTTTTTT